AGCTCTCTCTCCACTGTGAGTTCTTATATGTGTAGTGAGTGATGAGGCATGAATAAAGGCTTTCCAACATTCCTTACATTCATAAGGCCTCTCTCCACTGTGAGTTTTTACATGTTTATTAAGGTTTGAGGAACACGCAAAGGATTTCCCACATTCTTTACATTCAAAAGGCTTCTCTCCACTGTGAGTTCTTATGTGTGCAGTGAGGTCTGAGAGCTGCCTGAAAGCTTTCCCACATCCCTTACATTCATAAGGCTTCTCACCACTATGAGTTCTAATATGTCTAGTGAGGTGTGAGGACAGAATGAAAGCTTTCCCACACTGCTTACATTCATAAGGCCTCTCTCCACTGTGAGTCTTTAAATGCTTAGTGAGGACTGAGAGCTGTGTAAAGGCTTTCCCACATTCCTGACACTCATAAGGCCTCTCACCACTGTGAGTCCTTATATGTGTAGTGAGATACGAGGCATAACTAAAGGCCTTACCACATTCCTTACATACATAAGGCATCTTTCCCCTGTGAGCTCTGATATGTTTAGTAAGGTTTGAGGAACTGGTAAAGGCTTTCCCACACTGCTGACATTCATAAGGCTTCTCCCCACTGTGAGTTCTTACATGTTTAGTAAGGGATGAGGCCACACTAAAGGCTTTCCCACATTCCTTACATTCATAAGGCTTCTCTCCAATATGAGTTCTTACATGTTTAGTGAGGGATGAGGCCACACTAAATGCTTTCCCACATTCCTTACATTCATAAGGCTTCTCTCCACTATGAGTTCGTACATGTTTAGTGAGGGATGAGGCCACACTAAAGGCTTTCCCACATTCCCTACAATCATAAGATTTATCTCTGGTATGAAATTTTTTATATAAAACAAGGGAGGAAGGACTGTATATTTTACAGCATTCCTTACATTCAGGTTTTCTCACATGTGTTGAAAAGGATGAGACACTACAGAAATGTTTCACACACTCATTATACTCGTAGTGTTTCTTACCAGTGAGCATTTTCACAGGATTCTTAAGTGTTGCGATACAAGTGAAGTCCTTCCCACATGCCTTACATTTATGGAGCTTCGTTCCATTAAGACTTCTCCTAGGAGAGGTCAGGTGAGCGGGACAACTGCAGGCTTCCCCACATTCCTTACACTGACAGGTACTGCATCCACTGTGACGTCGGCTGTGATGTCTATGTGATGACGGATCCGTGAAGGCTTTTCCACACTCACGACATTCAAAAGCATTCATTTCTGCGGGATTGCTTTTTGGCACAGTAAGATTTAGAGTCCAGTGGAAGTTTGTCCCACACTGATCGTCTTCATTACTTTCCCACAGGTTCTCTACTGTATGATTTCTGTTAAAAATATGCATCATGCTGTTGGTAATAAATTTGTTCCCGTTTCAACATTACTGAACACATTGAAAGTGCACAGCTGCACAATTTTGGGCCTAACTTTCCTAATGTATCATAGTTTAAATCATCTAGCCAAAATACCACCACTACTGTCACAGTTTTTCTCAAATATGTAGTTTCTGATCATTCTGTCCAAGTGAAATATGCTTCAAATACTTAACATATGACTCAATATCTGACTCCTCGATATGTGAAAGTTCTATAACAATTTTACAGCGAGGTTTATATATATATTGTTGTTAGGTGCCATGACGTCAGTTCCACCTTATAACAATCCCATGTACAACAAAATGCAACACTGCCTGGTCCTCACAACTGTTCTATGACTAACCCCATCGTTCCACGCAGTGTGTCACTCCATCTCATTGAGGGTCTTCCTCTTTGTCACTGACCTACTTTACCAAGTATCATATAGTAGCACAACAGGGGATCTGGTGGCACAGTGAAAAAGGTATGTGACTGCTAGCCAAAAGGTTGGCAGTTCAAGCCAATGAGCTGCTCTGCAGAAGGAAGATTAGGCAATCTACTTCCATAATATTTAGGTGCTCTGGTGGTGTAGTGCTTAAGGCATTTGAGTGCTAACTAGAAAGTTGGAAGTTCAAACCCACAAGCTGCTCCACAGAAGGAAGACAGGGCAATCTACTCCCGAAAAAGATTTACCACCTCAGGGACCCAGTGGGGTCACTACGAGTCAGAAGTGACTCACTGGCAGTGGGTTTGGGTTATTTTTGGTTCATATATAAGCATATGGGAGCTCTGGTGGTGTAGTGCCTAAGGCATCTGACTGCTAACCAGAAGGCTAGTGGCTCAAACCCACCAGCCACGCCCCAGAAGGAAGGCTG